TTTTGAGTGTTGTTTTGTTTTGTTTTGTCCTTTGTGAGACAGAGTTTCATTATACAGTTCAGGCCGCCCTCAAACTTTTAGAGATCTCCTGCCTCAGCCTCCTGAGTGCTAGGACTACAGGTGTGAACCACCACCCCTGGCCAAATCTGCATTTCTGAGTCCTCAACACATTGGTTTTTGTTTGGTTTTTTTTTTTTAGGAACATTGATTAATGTTTGAACCATGATCTGTGGACTTTTACATAAACACAGTGAGAAAAATGAGGCAGAATAATAGTATTTTGAAAAGCATTCTAAGAAATTGATAATAACCTCTCTAAAAAGCAAGCTTTCACTATTATTCTTTTATTTATTTATTATTTAAAGAGAAAAACATTTCAAACCAAATAATAGGGTAACAATGGTTAATATATTACATATTGTTATCTTTAAATGGGTTACTCAGAGTGCAAGATAGCCTAAACAGTAATTGTCCAACGATATTAGCACAAACCTTTAAATTAGCAGTATAACTATTTTTTGTATTTTTCTTTTTCTCCCCTCCACCCAGTTTCTCTTTCCTTTTGAAGTTTCTTCCCATTTCACAATATATATTGTACATTTCAGATCAGATTTATTCTTTCAGCTCCTTACAATAGGGAGACAATACGATATTTACACATATGTCTGTTTTATTTCACTTCTGGTTATGGTTTCAAGTTGCATCCATTTCCCTATAAAAGTCCCCAGTTTAACCTTCATTATGGCTGAGTAATATTAGTACTCAGATCTGTTATCCATTCCTCGGTTGATGGGCATTTGGGTTGTTTCCAAGATCTAGCTACTACAAGTTGTGCTTGTAAACACGGGTGCTCATATATCAGTGTGGTATGATGTTTTTAATTATTTTGGGAAGATACCCAAAAGGTCACTATTATTTAAAACAATGTGTGTTGTGAATACTTTCAGGAAATTGTGTTTTTGATAGCAGTAGGAAAAAACAAAACAAAAGAACCAGCAGTGGGCACATTGTGTTCTGGGTAATATGTCTGTAATCCTGAAGCTGAGTGTGCTGACATAGCCCATAAGGAACAATGAGCGCCTGGACTCACTTCTCAACATGTTAACACTATTACAGTTAAACAGAGTAAATCAGGCCAGAAATATAGGTCAGTGGCACACTACCTGCTTGGCAAGTACAAAGTTTTGCCTGGTATGATATTCCTGGTACAATAAAAATAAATAAATAAACAGTAAATAAAAGGAAAGTTAAGCTCTCAATAAAAAGATAGGAAGGTATGCTTAACAATAAAGTATATAAAAATACAATATTCCAAAATCCAAGTCTTAGAAATCAGAATCATTTCTAGTTCCAACCATTTCAGATGCGGGATACTCAACTATATGTAAATTTTTAACAAGGAATTTTACCTAAGTTTGTAGTTTCTTAGCATTCAAATTACTCATGATAAAGAATGAAAAGGAACTGAAGCTGCTGGGCTACATCACAATACTTGACTGACCATAGCACAGTAAAAATAGAAGTACAAACTAAGCAAGCTGCGTCTGAACTCTAAATATTCATTAACAACATATTTATGCTGGGCCAGGTGACACAACCTGTGATCCCACCACTTGGGAGGCAGAGACAAGGAGATCAATATCAGTTTGAGGGCAGCCTGGACTACATAAGCAACTTCAAAGCCAACCTGCACTACATAGTGAGACTTTGGTTTTTTTGATTTTTTTTTTAAATAAAAGAAGAAAAAACAATATTAAAGATAAAACTAAAATTCCATTTGGATACTAGCCCAAATTCTGTTCCCTTTTGCTCTTTCTCTATAGTTTTCTGGTTATATGTTTAATATTTACTTTTCAGAATTTTTACTATGCTATTCTGTACAAATACATGTAATGGCAAAAATTATACTATTATTCACC